GGTGTATCGTCTACAACCGTGCATCGAGCCAAAAAACGAGCCGGACTATCGACTTACAAGAAGGTAGTGACTCCAAATCGCGATGATAAACAAAATACGACGGCCAAGGCGCGATCCCGGAGGCTGTACACGACGATGCTGACGAAGTTTGACTGCGTGGTAATGGACGACGAAACCTACGTCAAAGCCGACTACAAGCAGCTTCCGGGACTGGAGTTTTATACGGCAAAAGGAAGGGGAAAGGTAGCAGATGTTTTCAAGCACATGAAACTGTCAAAGTTCGCAAAGAAATATCTGGTTTGGCAAGCCATCTGTACCTGTGGCTTGAAAAGCAGCATTTTCATAGCTTCCGGGACTGTCAACCAAGAAATTTACGTGAAAGAGTGTTTGAATAAACGTCTGCTGCCTTTCCTGAAGAAACACGGTTGTTCCGTACTGTTTTGGCCGGATTTGGCATCTTGCCATTACGGTAAAAAGGCCATGGAGTGGTACGCCGCCAACAACGTGCAGGTGGTTCCCAAGGACAAGAACCCTCCCAACACGCCAGAGCTCCGCCCAATTGAGAAATCTTGGGCTATTGTCAAGCGGAACCTAAAGAAGACCAAAAAAACTGCTAAGGGCGAGCAGCAGTTCAAGGCAAACTGGCTTTCTGCGGCGAAGAAGGTGGACAAGGTGCCTGTACAAAATCTGATGGCAGGGGTCAAGCGTAAGGCCCGGCAATTCGGATTTGGAAAAGCGGAAGCCTAACTGAATATTTTTCCTGAATTTTATACTAATTGAACGATTTCACCGATTTACACGCGTTTTCCCTTGACCAAATTTTGACCGTATCACCCTTTAGTCCAAGGTATCTGTGATTATTAACCATCTCTATCGCCGCATTGTTAAGCTTGATGTTCAACATGTTATTTCCACCATGGAATAGGATTGCTTTGATCTTGCTTGGATTGATATCTAGGTTCAGGTTCCTTGCCTTAAGTGTGAAGTTTGTTAGTTGGTAATTCATCTTCTGATTTATAGCATCAATGGATTTCGCTCTTACTATCAAGGCAAAATCATCCGCGAACTGAACCAATACTACATCTGCATCCTAGTTTGTATGCAATTTAGTCGTATACACATTAAAAAGCGATGGGGACATCACATAGCCTTGTGGAAGCCCATTACTAACTATCCTCACCAATGTATTTTCTCCAACCATTTCCACTTTACTGTTTTTCAAAAAAGACGTGACCCAAATGATCACTACTGATGGAAATACCATTTCCTGCATAATCTCTTCCAAAACATGTGTTTTAACAGCATTATATGCATTCGTCAAGTCCAGGAATGTCACGGCTGTGATAAATCCCTCTTTATTTTTTTATTACATCCCGAGCAGGAGAAAATAACTAATGAATACCTAATTCTGATCTGATACCAAAATTTGGTATTGACCAGCATGACATAAGAGGTAAAATACCAAAGAATAATACCAAAAAATTACATGGAAAATACTTTGTAAATACCAAAAATTGATATTCCGATACCCAAAGAATACCTGGGTGGTATTGTTTTGGTATTGCATTATCATAATTTGGTATTGGAATGGTATTGTGGGAACATATTTTTGGTATTATCTTTTGGTATTATCTTTTGGTATTTTACCTCTTATGTCAGGCTCATCCATACCAATTTAAGGTATCGAGATATTTGTTCCTGCTCGGGATTCACCACGTAATTAACGCAGGTTGACGTAGAAACATTTCTTCTGAATCCGAAAAAGAGTTTTGGTAAGATGTTTCGATCGCTTAGATGGTTATGAATCTTCTCCAAAACAGCAGATGATCTTAGTGATAGTTGGAATCAGGGCTATTGGCCTTTCCTCTTGCACAGTACCTTGATCCCGGCCCGGTTTGGAAATCGCAACAATTTTTATTTCTTTTAGGTGATATGTCAGTGTACCTGATACGAGCATTTGGTTGATTTGTTCTAATACGATATCTCTTATCTCAGGTTTTATTTGCTTGAGCTTGTCGTGTTAGAAAACTATCTCCGGAAGGGGCTGACTTCGAGTTCTTTGATGTAAGAATCTGGTTCCATTTTTCAGCATCCATCAGGTTGCATCGAAATACCGGGCCATATGATAACGGTACCTCGATGTCTACATCATTTTTTTTTTCAACATGTACATCCAGCAACTCAGACGTGTGTTTCCTGTATTGGATTGTCAACTCTCCTTTTGTTGCTTTTTTCTGATATTCTTGCAATTTTGTTCCAGAGTACCTTCGACCTTGTTTGAGGATCAACCGTTTCCGCAAGCTCTTCTATTTGTTTTTTAACACCTTCATTTTTTAGTCGAGTAAATATCGCCGAATATTTTTTTACCTCTATAGCATTTTTTATATGTCCATGAAACCTTCTAACCGCTTCCATCTTATCCTTTCTATGCTCTCTCTACCTCGTCATTCCACCATCTTTTAGGAGTATATCTAATTAATTTTCTGTTCTTGTTTACGCATTGTTTTACTTTGTTTCTGAAGTCGTCAAAGCTTTGAACTTCTTCATTGTTCCAATTTAAGACCCTTTCGAATATGTTTCGATGATTTACGAAAAGCGGTCTGGAATGCTTGTCAGATGTGGTTCAGGTCGCTTCTATCAACAAATTTTCACTTCTTCCAATGGATTCAACGATTATCAAAATATTGCTTGCAGTGGATAGATATCGAATAAACTAGAAGATTAAGTGTATTTTTCGACCGATTTGAGTATGAATATGGCATTAAATCTGGTTTTGAAAGTTGTTGCACAGGTAAAAAGTGAGGTTACGGGACGCCACTGAATGAAAGGCATCTGCAAAGGATGCCGAGGAACAAAAAGTTTACAATTTTAATCAAAGACAATCCAAGACTTCAAGTTCACTTAAGATTTTTAATAAATCGAGTACATTCTTCAAACATTTGAAAACTTCATAGCAGGGTTACTTCCACTCAATTGCTATAAAAAATTGTGTTTCCGAATTATGAACACATTAGATGTGATAATGATAATTAGTACTTGTAAGTTACAAGAAGAGGTCGTGACGTATGTGTATGACACATTACACCTGTCAAAATTGCTTTCAGTGCGTCACAATCAGCGATTTAACGATTCGTGAGCGCTCACTCAGAGTGAACGCTCGCGAATCATAAGATCGCCGATTGTGATGTTCTGAAAGCGAAATTGACAGGTTTTATGAGTCAAACACATCCTTTACACCCTTTTCTTGTTACTTACAAGTACAGCATATCATTATATCATCTGATGATCTCATAATTTAGAAAACCATTGGTTTATAGCAAGTGAGTGGAAGCAACCCTGCTTCATAGTTTGATTCAATCAAACCTCAGTATAGTTGTTTTTAATGTTGGGCCTATTTGTTGAATTTTGTTCCGTATCTCCGGAGTGATTCGAAATTTGCACAAAATTGCCCTTTTAAGCAATGACTTCTATTGCTGATTTCTAGCGAATAAAAGCTCAATCTCGCAAACTAACAACACAATCAGGCAGGGGAGTGATTTCTCTAGCAATTAGTATAGTTTGTTTTCGCTTTTCTTCACGAGAAATTGGTGATTGGTGTCATTATTTACAAAAGCAGTTTCGCGCAAATCACGAATCACTCCGGATTTATGAATTTTCCAGCAGTTTAAAAATGAAATGTTTATAAACATCTCCAGCATTTACTACCAGAAATAAAGTCTGGAACGCGCAAAAATTGGTCAACTTCAAATTGGTGTATTTCTGTTAAAACCTGAAATGCTGCATTTGGAAGTTGAGTGTATATACAATGGTTGCTATGGCGAATTTTCACCGTTTGCTCTCCAGTGTTCAAAATGACGTCCAAACAAGAGGAATCGTGTCAAAATTTTGCTCGCGCAGCAAGAGAATCCAACGTTCTCACACGCCAAGTTGGCAAAATTGCTTGATTATTATTATTATTTATCTTTATTAGGGAGGCTTTCAGCCTTGGGCTGGTTCGCCTCCAAAAAATTGCTTGATGTGAATCGTAATCCGGACGTGGCAGCGACGACGAAGAAGGTGGCGGTGAAATATAAGCGGAATCCTAACCTCTCCATCCAGGACGTCGCTGGCATGCTAAATGCCTCCCATACTACTGTGCAGCGCGCCAAGAAACGAGCCAGGTTGTCGACGTTTAATAAGGTGAAGGTGGCGAACCGAGATTACAAACAAAACACGTCGGCAAAGCAGCGGTCCCGAAAGCTGTATACGAATCTGCTCACAAAGTTCGACTGTGTCGTCATGGATGGCGAAACTTATGTGTAGGCGGATTTCAAGCAGCTTACGGGACAGGAGTTTAATACCGCATCAGGAAAATGGAAGGTGGCTGAAATTTTCAAAATCATCAAACTACCTATCGAAGTTCCTGAAAAATATCTCGTCTGGCAGTGTTGTCTAAAAAGCGGCATTTTCATTACTACGGGAACCATCAATCAAGAAATCTACGTGCAGGAGTGCCTGGAAAAGCACATGCTACCATTCCTAAAGCAACATAATAGACCTGTGCTGTTCTGGCCCGACTTGGCTAGCCGCCACTATGGGAAAAAGGCAATCGAGTGGTACTATGCGAACAACGTGGTTGTGGTACCCAAAGACCACAACCCTCCCAACAGCCCAGAACTCCACCTATCGAATGGTATTGGGCCTTGGTCAAACGGAATCTAAAAAAAACTAATAAATCCATGGAAAACGAGCAGCAGTTTAAATCTAGCTGGCGTTCGGCGGCGAATAAGTTCGATGAGACCACTGTGCAAAATTTAATGGAAGGGGTTAAGCGGAAGGCACGGTAGTTAGAATTTGGCAAACCAAAAGAATAAACGAACATTTTTTCCTTTAAATATGTTAATTGAACTACCAAAAGAAAAATAAGAAGATTTTTGTGATATGAATTTTGACTGAAAGAAACGATTTTTTTGTCGAGCAATTTTTGCGCGTTCCAGTCTTTAAGTAGAATAAATACGAACCTGTCGCTCTGTTTTGGTGTGCTCAGCTGTCTTCTTCTTCTGACAGATGGTGGCCTTTTTCAGTACCTTCATGGCGTATAGTTTGTTATTGTCCGTGCCGCCAATTTTTCGCACCAGAAATACTTTTCCGTATGCTGCAAAATGTTGAGAATTTCAATCATTAATCCTTTTCTTCCTTTCTATGGTTTCTTTTTGTTTCGCTTACCGCCAGTGCCCAAGACCTTCAGCAGCTTGAAGTCATCCATGTCGACTTTATCATCTTCGCAGAGTTTAACTGAAAAGGAGAGAAAAAGAAAAATAGCAGATGTAGAATTTTTTTTTTGATAAATCGAAAGTAACAGCCAATTTTATCGGCGAGAATGATTTATCATGAATGGTCATACAGGTGGACTCTCAACCAATACGATCAAAATTAACGATGCATATAAAAGTGTCACACTCTAAGGGGAGAGTGGGGTGTGGTTGTAAAACTTTATGACAACAATGCATTAGATATAGGGGTATCAAAGCTATGCCATATAAATGCTCGAAGTGCCAGCAACAATTAGAATAAAGAAGAATACGAAGTTACGAAAGGGGGAGGAGAAGGGTTTTTTTCTCTCAATTTAGCGAGACATAATCAATGCATAATCCCGTAGAGTAGCGAGGAGTTGGTTTTGCACTGTTTGTTTTGCTTTCCACATTCGGTCGGACTAAGACAGTACAACTACCACTACATCTCCAAGCTTGAATCTGTTTTTAGTACGTCGAGACAAGATTGGAAAGAAGGCGTACATATGTATTTGGAGCATAACGGTGAAGACGTAGGTATACCATCAGAGAAAGTTGCACGCAACTAGCAGGTAAGAGACGGCACGTCGAATAGCGGAATTAAAAGCAACAGTAAAATACTATTTTCGATTTCTTTGCGCTGAAGGGTGCCGAGACGCAGTATTAGGTTACGTAGTAGAATGCGATAGCTTCCTCCTTGTATGTGGACTGATTGAAATCAATCTGCTCGAGTTTTGAATGATGTTTTATTTTGCTAAAAAAAAAATGAGTGTGATGACCATTCGACGTAATACTCGCTTTGATGAAAGCCGAGAACACCTCTGCACTTCCATGAGAAATCACTGGGATGTTGGATAAAGGGTTGAGATTACAGCAGGATTCGTTTTGGTAAACAATATGCTGAATTGATGTCCTAACAGCGAAGGAGCTTGGGTTTGAACCCACCGATTTCTGCTCAGTAAGCAAAATCGATTGCCACTAGGCCACCGGAGCACCTTATATCACAAAACAATAACGATCAGGTATCCGTTCAGCTGGTTGTTACTAGATTTCGATCCCGGCGGGGGCTTCGCCTACGACGATAACAAATACTCTTGAGAAGGATTGTATATGGATTACCGATTAACATGTCTCTCCCAAAACTCGAATATTATTTCTTTTGCGAATTCGATTTATGAAAATAATAATTAGGATCAAGCTCCCACTCAACCTGCAGTTACTATTTTTCAGTCCTGACGATAATTATTGCCCTTGAGAAGGGTTTGACGTGTATTTCCAATCAAAACACCTTTCTTATAACACGAATATTATTTCTGTTACGTACTCGTTCCAACTGTATACCATTACGTTCTCATACTAAGAAAGATATCAAATTTACACTATAACTATGTACCACGGACAAACAGACGTAACTTTTCATTCTAGATCATCGTTTGCGCATTTAACGATTGGTTTGAATGTTATAGCTTCCGCGAACTACTCGCCGCAGCGCTGGCATCGGATCCCTTTGACGTTTCTATATATTCGGTTTTTCTTGCATGCAACATTGTTTGCGAATCAGCGAGCAAGCTTGTTTTCCGCGAGAAGCCCGCGAGATGTCGTTCCTGGAGTCCTATGTTTAGCGGTACTATGTTTAACGATTGCAGAACTGACTATCTGATCACATCCAAAACCTCAATCTAATCCGTACAGTATTTGAAAAATTGTTAATAAAGTTTGAGGTTCTAAAGATCAGAGGAACAGTGTTGCCAAAATCGGAATATTACTGTAAAGTGTAGAAACCTGAGATTGAACGAATGATCCTCTGCTCAGTAACCAAAAGTTTTCACCACAAGGCCACCAAGCTCTTCATACTACAAACACAATAATACGCACATGCACATACACTTACACTTTCATATCGCTACACCCAACCGAGGGATGTAAGATTTGCTTACAATTATGTGGGATTCATCATCAGAGGATGTTAGTGGAGACCGCATGAACCGAGGATGCGATATACCTAGCTGCGGTCCAATGCAAGAAAATTGGAGACCGAAAAATGTAGAGTGTATTAGTGAGGTAAATTAGTTATGTCGAAAAAAATAGGAATCCGATTGCCGACTGGACTCGAACCAAGAACGCTTCGATTATCAGACCTGTGGTTTCTCCACTGCTCTCTCCATGCTCCTGAATATGGATAGCCTAAAAGCAAACATGAAGCGCTCATTTTCTCGCATACTCGACTTCGTATGCTTTTTCTGCTGGAGAGATTCGAGGCAAGTGTGTGCGTCGTTCTACAATGTTCTACAATGTGCGTCGTTCTACAAGCTTACTGGTATAGTCGAAAGCGTAGATAGAACACGAAATGAAAAAGACAAAAAACCATTACATCGCCTGTAAGGTCAACTTCTAACATTCGCTGCGATGTTCATGAACAGAGGATGATAGGAAACGGAACTAACATTCATTGTAATAGATTTTTGGTTTGCGTGTACGTTGTTTTTAGTAGGTCTAAAAAATTGCTTGATGCTTTATAATAGAAATTCAAAACTCACTAGGAATTCGAGGTTTTTCCAGAAAAAAAAATCCTTAGGTATTTCCAAGATTTTCAAGGAAGTAGACAACCTGAATTTTGAGGGAATTTCAAGCAATTTGCGGAAGGGTCCCAAACAGAAGATTTCACAGGAAATGTTGAGCATATTTCCAAAGAAATTCCGAGTTTCAACAGATTCTGGAGAAATTTTCTAGGGGATTCTATGGAGACTTTGAAGAGCGTTACAAAGACAATTTCAAGAAAGCTCCGAAAGATTCTCTCAAGAATAGTTTGCGAAGAATTTCAAGGGAATATAATAGAATTCGAATTAACAGGTTCACCCGGACCAGTGGCCACCATGGGAAAATTTGATAGAAATTTTCAGGAGAAATCGGATAGAAATTCCGGTGGCAGAACAGTCACCTGTTTTCTGATTCCCAAGTAGCAAAAATGGTCACAAAAAATCAAGTTTTAGTTGGGAACATCTCTAACAGTTTTAGTAGTAAATTGAGAGAATTTTCAATATGTACCTAGAATATATGCAAGGTAAGTCCAGAAATTTTTTTTATTCATTACAAATGAGGTAAACCTCGACAGGCAGCTCAATAAAATTAGACATAGTGGACTCTGGGTGTACCCAAAGTCCTTTAGGGTTAGGACTTACCCTCCAAAGGGTGCGTACTAGAAAACTGTAGTGCTAAAGTGCTCCTCTCTCATCCACTCAGCAAGCAACCCTACCGAACTACCGATCTCCGCCGGCTGCCCGTGCGCCAAGAATTGTGTCACGAATCGAGTTCATCAACAACAAACTACTATATTACCACGCTACAACCGCGCACCACCACCTCGAGACTTGCAGCCACGCAAGACAATATGAGACGTACCGTTTTTACTTTCTTCCACCCTTTACAGAGCACCAAGCTCCATACACCCACCTAGAACACACGATCAACACACAAGTAAGTTAGCGATGACCCACTTTGACAGCAGCAGACTACCTTCTAGCAGCCCAACCAACAACGAACGGTCAGTCAATACATCCAACCTAACCCAATATTGCTTGTTTGCACCATACCGCATCACAGAGCCACTACGGTGGTGAGTGCCTGTCTGTCTGTCTGTCTGGCTGTATGTATTCAAACAGTTCCCTGGCGGCTGTAATGAACAAACATACCTACTATAAATTAATCATCATCCTTACTGAAAGAGCTCATTACACGAGAATCCCCGTCGCCACACACCGGTACCTTGCTTGCGTGCGGGAATGCCCATAGAACATATGTTTACTATAGTGTAGCAAACTCGATGGTAGTAGTAGGAGGCCTGGTCCGGCATCAACATCAGAGGACCAACATCAGTATTTATTTACCGGGTTTCAGTGGTATGCGTGACGCTTATAGAGCGTAACGCGAGGTAACACTCGATGTTTTTGTTGCGCAAAGTAGGCCTTCAACAGAGCCGTACGGTGTACGGTCTGTTGGTGTAGAGGTGAGACCAGCATAAATTCACGACAGAGCGAAAAATGTGTATGCTTCTCATTTTATATAACTGCGCTTTCTCGTGGCGCATTCCGATACACACCATTACCGTATGCTACGTATCTTCCATTCTCGCCATTTAGGTTGGAAGGAATCCCCGCGATGGAGTTATTGGACACCTGTAGATTGAGAGTAGAGTAAGGGTTTCGGTGTCTGGAATAATTCTGGTTTTCGGATAGTATTTCGATGCGAATCATAACAAAGATGTAACTCAATTCGTTATTATGAAAATGTGTAAATGTCCGGAGTGTAATGTCAGTATTTCTTGTACATCGACGTGTTTTCAATGACTATGTAATTTCGCTCTAGAACCCGCTTTAAGGTCTCGAGGCCCGAACGATCGAGTGAGCTAGACGAACATCTTTTTAAACTTACTCGCTTTTCTCGAAGATGAGTGAACCATTTGTAGAGCAACAAATGCCGAGTTATTTATGCCGCATTTAACTTCATCCGGAGCGGACTTTTGCTTCCGGAATTAGGATAACAAAAAAGAAGTGCGTTTTCTATGTATCTTCTACACAGCATTGTCAGATTGTGTTTAGGCTGATAGGTATCAAAGGTTTAAAAAAAAAATAGTATTTATCGCTATTTACTGTTTTAATTAATTATATATTTTGTTGTTTTTTAAGGCAAAATATTTAACTTATTTACGGAAAATTTACCTTTCAGGAGAAGTCGGAAGAAATTTCCGGAAAATGTTTCAATAAGCTTCTGAAGGAATCCGATACAAATTCCAGAGAAAGAAGAGAGAAGCTTATCTGGAGGAAATTTTAAGAAAGTTCTTAGAAAAGTCAGAAAAACAGCCGGGGAACTTCCAAGAAAAATGTTGTGAAACTTCTGGGAAAAAGTAAAATAAACTTTCGGAAATCCAGAAATCGGAAGAAAATTCCAGAACTAGTCATTTCCAGGGGAAGCTAGAAGAATTAAGTTCGGAAAAACCTTCCAATATAA